AGGAAACCAGTGAACAGTGACGAAAAACAGGTTCACAAATATTACTCGCTTAAAGACAATAAACTTTATCGGAAAACATCTGCTGGTTTACGATAGTACGTTCCCAAGGCGAGCAAACGCCTAGTGACAATGTGCCATCATGACAATGTGGGCCATTTTGCGATCGAAAAAAATCTGAAAAACATGGGTAGTGTGTATTGGTTTCCACGAATGCGAAAATATGTGGACCGCTACATTTCTGCTTGTCTACAATGTGCATACAACAAAGCACCTACAAGTAAACAAGAGGGATTTCTCCATAAAAAAGAAAAGGTACCAATCCCAATGCATACACATAGATCATGTTGGACTGTTTGTGAAGAGCACGAGGAAAAATGCATACTTGATAGTAGCAGTAGATGCTTTCACGAAATTTCTTCATACCAACCCAGTTCCAAGTACCAAAACGAAACCAGTAATAAACTTTTTAGAGACAATTTTTCTGACTTTCGGTACCTACTCCTAGACGCATCATTTGTGTCAGTGGATCTTGTTTTACAAGTAACGCCTGTATCAGCTTTAAGAAGGAGCTAGGAATCAAACTGTTATTTAATGCAACAGCCATTCCACGTGCCAACGGGCAAGTGGAAAAATATAACAGCACTTTGTTGAAGGCCATTTCAACATCTTACGAAGATGAAAAAAAGTGGGATGAGACAATTAAGTCTAATGTTTTTGGAACTAATTCTGCAGTAAACAGTTCCACTGGGAAGAGTCCCTGTGAACTGCTTTTTGGATAGAGACCAAGAGCATTGGGTGATCCATTGCTGAGTACAGCTGTCACAGAGGACGCTGTTGAAAATGACATCACACAATCGAGGCGCTTTGCTCCAAAAATTCAAATTGCTCAAGACAAGCAAAAAACATACTTTGATGCTAAAAGAAAGAAATTTCATAAGTATGTGGTATGGGACCAAATTGTCCTGAAGAGGACAAGCTCTGAAAATGAGGGTAAAAGCAAAAAGTTGCTGCTTAAGTTCAGTGGTCCTTACCAAATTAAAGAGGTTCTAGATCATGGTCGTTATATTGTAGAGGAGCTGCCAGGGTCAAATCGTGCACGTAAGAGATATGAAGGTGTCAGTTCAGCTGACCGTATGAAGCCGTTTAATGCCGCATTTCGGAGCAGTAGTGAGACGGATTCAGACTATGAAATCTCAGAGAAGAAATCGCTAGAGGAGAAATTCTTAGAGGAGAATGTCTCGGAGAAAGATTTTTTGACTACTTGAGGAAGTTTTTAGAGTAGATGTAACTGATTTGTTGGTTACTGAAGAATCTGTGTTTTTTTATGATTATTGGCGAGTGTTGTGGATTTTTTGGCCAATCTTCGCACCGCTTGACAATCTTCAATGTATATATTTTATTTTGACACAATTACTGTTTTTTTTTTGTGTTGCAGAGATCTGCAGCTAGAGCATTTTTCCGGAACGAAAAATAAAGTAGCATGGCCGACTGTAGAAGAACGTTTCTTTTCGAGTGTGTTTATAAAGGATATTTTCTTTGTTAGCCTATAGAGGTAAAAACCAAGTATGCTAATTTCGATGGAGTGATCTTGTTTATATTTATATAAAGAGGGAGTGGTTTTTCTTATGAGTAAGAGGCATCACTCTTGCGTTAGCGTTCTAGACATTTGGTCGAATTTATATTCAAATAGGTATATATTTGCTAATTAGTGTTGTTGAGTGAATACATAATTTTTTCTTTAACTCAATTATACGTTGTGTTTTATGAAATCGTTACATTTCGTATGTGAAATCTCCGGCAGCAGGTTCGGGGTAGGCAGTATATGGGGTTTATTATTATTTAATGCCTTGTAAATTATGCGGATGGGAAAGTTGAGCTCAATTTTATCTTCGATCCAGTATGAATTTTATTTTGGAAATTATTTGGTTTTGCTACTTTTACTCGGGCATTACCTGAATTCCTGTTTCTAGCGTAACATATCCACTTTGTTGGCTTATACGGCTCTCTTTTTACATTGATTTCGACCAAAATTATTCTATCAGTGCCCAAGTCAACGGTCGTAAGCTGTTTTTCATTGGTGCTCCACTAAAACTCCAAAAAATATAAAGTGAAAGTTATGGGAAATATATTTTTCCCAAGGAACTGGAGGTACTCAAAGAAAGAAATCAAAAAATCTCAAAAGCACGTAGGTAATCACATAATCGATAAAAACCCTTTTCACCCTGTCTCGGGCCGAAAGCATTTTGTTTAACCTTCTATCAAGTTTTAGTAATTGCTGTACAATTTGTCTTTCTCTCCACCTTTACCAATATAAATTACGACCACCACGTGTTTCATTTCTTTGTGCCACTCAGTTAAATGGGTTTTTAACTTGGGAAAAGAGTACTGGATATTTGTTATTTCAGGAAATAAATGGTTTGCGGGTTTATCTTTCAAAACGTCGCCCGTTTAATTGCAAAAAACTTAAATGGATTACAAACGTTTAGTTTTAGTTTCTTTGAGTCAGATAATTTCCTCTATAAAAAAAAAACATGATAAGTTTCAATCAAGGATATGATAGCAAATAAAATTTAAATCAAGTTCTATATTCAAACTGAATTAAGTGTCTTAAACGCTAAAAACCCAGCTAATACACATATATTTCAGAGTCATAAACCATATATGACAATTTGAGCGGACTTCCAAGCAATGTTATATGATAGATAAAAGCGTATCTTTACTGCTAAACAATTCAACTGCAGTCCTGCAAAATGCACAGCTTCGGAAAATAACGTTATTTAATGCTATCGTTTGCATGACAATTGCGTGAATGGTGAACGATGATTAATGTTTGGACTAGGGGGACTAAAAATGTCAACAGACCGCTTGTAAAGTTGATATATTTGTTTGATTTTGATTTATTTGGCTGTGTTTATTTTTATTAACAAAATTGAGGTTTATGATAACAAAAAGGTGTGTTACTATTTCAGCATTTTCGCTCCATAACCATAAACCTCGAAAAACTCGTATAATTATAGGCACTCGTAACCTTTATCAGTATCTGTATTAATTAAATTTTATGAGGTTTTTCGGGTTCGTTGCGAAAAATAGATTTATATTTGTCTGATCTGTTTGTGTTATTGTTCATCGAAAATTCTGCTAACTCTATTCATCATTCATCCCTATACCCACACAAAACAATCCCCATTATGCGTTTGATCTTTCAAACCCATAAATTTTGCAGGTTATAGGGCAGCAAATGCACAGATCCAGTAAAGATAGGCTTAGTTTTATCAAAACCACATTATTTAGGCGACCGCCCAAATTGTATACAGTTTATGGGTATAGATATTTAGGATATTCGCGTCGTAAATTACGGAAGTTTGCTGGATACATGGATAGTAGTAAAGAGGGAAATTAAACTACATCGTTTTAGAGCCTCTTTAGGCAGAAGATATAATGAGGATTGTGAGAAATGAATATTTTTAGGAACAAGTTTTGACCACCGGAAAATTTTATTATGAGTTATAGTGACACTATAACTCAACAGAAGCAAACAGCATTAAAAACCTGCCATAAATAAAACGATAAACTTTTGTCACAAAACAAACTATTCCAATAAAGTTTCCTTCGTATTCGCTAGGATTTCAATAAAAGTTATTTACTATTTTTTGATCTATGATTTTCGGGAGCCAAAGCGGTCAATAGGGTGCTTTTATAATACGATATCTGTGACTATTTATAGGGTCAGTGGGTTGGTAATTTATATATTGAAAGTCATGTGAACCAATAAGCATTTAATATGTAATAATATTTCGAAATACAATATAAATTTATCGCTATATTTATATAAATTAAAATGTAACTTTTTCTTTCACCTGGATTCAGGTTAGTTTTTTTGTTTCACTTTGCTTATTTATGTTCCAAGGCGCGCTCAGATGCAGCGGATTCACCCAGCAGTGAATAGGAAGTTGAGAGACCTGCGAAGATGCAGATGCAGAAGTACAGGGTGACTCAAAGTAATTTTTTTTTCGAACGCGCCCCGTACATTTAACTCAATATTTGTGGGGGGGGGGAGTTAGCGCTCGAAATTTGCGGCGACTGCTTGTGGATTATCAGTAAACATGGAGCAGTGGTCGAACGAGCAACGCGCGTTTATTGTTTTTGTAGGTAATCGTCACAATATTCGGTGTATACGTGTATCCATCAAAAAATTTATTGGACTCGTGGGTTCCAAGATTCAGACAAAGTGGTGTATCAGCAAATCAGAACCGTTCCGACTAACAGAAGTCCATCAGAATGCCAGAGAACATTGAGATTGTGCGACGTGCTGCAACTGTAAATCCGAGGTGCCCAATTCGGAGGACGGTTCTGATTTGCCACTTTATCTGAATCTTTGAACCCTCGACTTAACTAGAGGGGCATTTCCCAATTAAGGTACTTTGCCCTAGCCTTAGTCTACCAGTAATGGATCTCGGCGCGGTATTTATACCAAATTAATGCTGACTTGTCGACACGCATTGATGAAATTGATGTACAGAGTGGTATTTACTTAAGTAATTACATAGGAATCGTTCTATTTGAAAAACGCTTCGACCATAAACGCGAGTTGCTCATTCGACCACTGCTCCATGTTCACCTTCCCACAAAATTAGGTTGGATATATACAGGGCGCGTTCGAAAAAGGAAATTTACTCTGAGTCACCCTGTATAAAGGAAATACACATTTCAATCGTGTGGCTTCCGTCTGCATGTTTTATGTTCTGCAGCATCTATGAGACTTATGTGAGGCTACGACCCATCCATAGTCTTTTTTCAGATATTTCTGAAGTCTTGCTCTTCTATGTTTCCGGTTTTTCTTCGAATTCATCCAAATTGTCTTATTTGCATCAGTGGTTATGCTTGCTGCCTGTCTTTTGGACTCGTATGAAGATTTAGCCAGACATGCGGGATTTTCTATTTTTCGTTTCATATCAGCAACTCTATGAGTGCTTTGTTAAGGATTGCAAAGCCAATATTACTGGTTGCTTCAAAGTTGCCCTCACTTCCACCATTGTCCATTGGTAGTTTGGTTTCTCCCAAGATTGTGATTCTGTGCACTCCTTGTGTTATTAGGTCGGTGTTATCATTTCTGTGTAGAATCATTCTGCTTGTTGCCTTTGAGAAATGCTATTTTGGGCTCCTGATGTATTTTTGTACTAATGTTATTTGCTAGGTCTAGATAGGAAGCTATATCCAATTTTGCTAATTTCAACAAAATGTCCTGCTTTCCTACTACGATTTCTGGAGTAACGCTGCGACCTCTTTTCTTTAGGTTTCTGAATGCACCTTCGAAATGTCTTTATGTTGCAGAGTTATAATACACTTCACCAGTGTTTAATGGTGTATTATATTCTTGTTCCTCCTGCAGTGGAAACTGGCATTTTTTTCATGGTTTGTGCGATGGCTATGATATGTTTAGTTCTGTCTCGCCTAAATAGACAGAGAGAGCTTGATTGTAATAAATACAAGTTAGAAAGTAATAAAGGATGACATGCGCGCGCAACTTGTGGGTTGCAGTGTAGCCAGTTTGTATTGTTGCAGAACAAATGTAGACAACACAAATCGAACATTATAACATGAAAATAGTGATATGGTGTCAAGACTTTTACAACGCCTTAAATCAGATAAAAGAAGAGCTTTAAAGTGTATGTTAACATTGTTTGCACTTTTATTTTGATAAATGTTTCAACCGGCAACATCGCACAATGAAATTGCAAAGGAATATTTCAAATATAATCTAATATAACCTTAAACGATACTGCGGTGAGTTCAGAAGTAATTCGTGAATAATTAGTTTGCTATTTATCGAATTACACGTTAGAAAGAAAGAAGGAACGAGATTAATTCTGAACTGGCCACTGAATAAGAATATGACGCAAGCCCGTAACACACTCGCATCTCATTGGACGCTCACCTGCAACCCACGAGTTGCGCGCGCAGTCAAGGTAAAAAAAGATAGGTCAATTGTTAATAAAAATCAGTATTGTGGCTCTCTCCAGTTACCAAACTTCCCGGGAGTACTAACCCAACATACAATCCACAAAAAAAAAACTACCAAGTGTTCTGAGCATCCTCCTAAATTCCAATATCAGGAATTTACAGTATGTATATTAAACGATACTGTCAAACCAGACGCGGTATTATTTCAAATGCAAGCAAGACACGAAAATTTCAGGTTAAAGCTACCTCCGCTCCAGGTGCTAGATGGAACTTCGCTTCCGTCCTTAGAGCATAATACAATATCCGCCAAAATAAACAGTACTGAACATATAAATTATATCATTTATTAGTTTGTATTATGCGTATATTGTATGTATATGTTCAAAAAACGCATCATAGCGACGCAAAAAAGCTTCATAACGATTCTGGAAGTCATTGAAAATATTTATTAAGAGTGGTTGCTGAAATTTTTCTGAGACTTGTTTCAAACTTGAGCCTTTATTCCTTCTAAATCCGTATTACCGGAAATAGTGCTCTACTAAGAAAACTGTTTCTTGAGTTGAAAGATACATAATGACGAAGATTTTAACCTTAACTTAATGTCAACCTCATAACTAATGCCAAGTAAGCAAAATATGATAAATGCAACTTGCGTGCACAATTAATCAGAGCTCTAGATTTCAGTACTGTTTATTTTGGCGGATACCGTATTACCATCGAGAGATCATATTTAATGAGAAAGCAGAAAATAGTGAAACCAAAGTCATCTGTGTACGAAGGTCGACATGAAAGTGAAGTCCGGGCCTGATTCTCTTCCAGATATGATCTATTGTTTCCAGGATGTTCATTCTAGATGGCATGGAGTTATTGATGTCCTAGAACTAAAACGAATATCCTGGATATGTCCGCAAGCCATTGGTCTGGAGACATAATTACGTTTCGATTATCCTGAGACATCAGTTTTAGATCCCGCTAACGATTGGTTTAAAGAAACCGCATCTTGGATATCCTAAGTAAGTAGCACCGTTTCAAGTTTCATACAGCTTTCGACCGTGAAGTAGACCCACATTCGTTCGTACATGAAACTTTTAATCAAAATAGCTAACCCCTCTCCGACCAAAATCATAACATTGGTGACAGCAGAAAAACACATATAGTAGTTGACAACATAATTTATGGCGACGTACTTTTTGTAAGATAAAGTAAACCAAAATATTCAATGAATAGAATCTCAAGCATTACATAAATAGATTAAATATCCCCTTATAATGGACACGTAGGCCATTAAGAACGTTTAGGAACTAAGACTAACTATTAATTACCTACGTATAACAAGAATGATATAAACCGAGAAGACATTGAAACCGATTCGCAATCTAAACCCTTATTCCTTGTCCGTTTTCCTGTTTCCATTTCCTGCCGACTTACGTTTTCCCAATAAATATACCCTATATCAACCTCAAGATGGACAGGGCGCAATTTAAACGTATCCATAAGCAAATCTTCCCTTCAAGCCTTGTAGGGGCGCATGTTGCACAACCCTTATCTATGTCGTAACCTGATATCCCTTGACTTCAACTCAAGGACTTGAGACGTGTCGCACCTGTTTTGCGGTTTCGTTAACCTCCAGGAAAGTATATTCTCGTCGTCTTTCCTGTTTTTGGTTTATCGATTGTTTTTTCCCTAGGAGCGACCTAGGTGCAGTTCAATATTAAAATCCTTGAATTATGGCATACTGGCGGACTACTATCATATTATGTTGTTCGCATACAATAAATTACCAAAGCTATATTTTCCCTAACATCCGAAATAAATATGTATTGCGGTAATGTCCCATTGATCCTAAGCATACTCCTATATTCCACCATTGTTTTACCTTTGCCCATTCAAATGCAAATATATTGGTCTAATATATCAAATTGAGCTGCCTTTGTGTCGCAAATATCCATAGGAAGTATTGAACGCGAAAACCGATTTTTGGCAAAACTGCCTGTTCTTGTTTTGCCTTTAGGATGGGACGTTTTAATAGCCATTAGAATTGCTAATTGAAATTAGATACGTTCTTTTATAAAACAGCGTGGAGGAGTTTTAGTATACGGAAATTTTAGGATTTTTTTTTTGTAAAAATAATATTTTTATTCTTGGTTCTACATAATTTACAAGCTTCAGTTAAAATAACAAAAACCTACTTCGCTATTGTCTCACGTACTAGAACAATGACTAAAGTTTCGTCATCGTGGACATCTTAAAATGTGCACTAAGGATGCTACGCGTCTACAGAACTTACTAACGAGCCTGATAGTTAGATACTTTTATGCATTTCCTAATTGTTGCGGCATGCTTGTTGTCTTTCGGAAAAGGCACATTCTTGGCTTTTTTAAAAATTAAATAGAGGAAACAAAATAAGCTTTCTATGTTAATGTATGCCACATATCTTGATTTGAGATGTTTATTTATGCATGCAAATAAAGACAGCAATATTTTATAAAGTTTTATATACGAGTTATATTAACCAATTGCCACACTAATTTATAATCAATCCATTTTTTATATGCTTCAATGTGCTTACCCCTTTCCTCTATGACTTTTTAAAATCATAGTTGTAAATTGCTATATCGGCATTAAATTCTTATTCAAGCCAGCGCAGTCCCATAAGGAACGTTCATTTGTTTTCAAGCTTTCGCTGTAGCAATTTGATCCACATATTATTTTCTTTTGTCACCTCTGTATTTTAATTAATAAAATAAATGTTTTTAAAAATACAAGTTTTTGAATCGAAAATATAATTGGCACAGTCTTACAGATACTCAGAGTGCTTAAGTTTCGGGAAAGTCGATACAGTCGAAATTTTGTCGCGAAAATTTCAAAAGACTGGAGGAAGTTTGAAAAAGTGAATTCTTCGGGAAAGTGAAATTTGGATTATCAGTGCAGCTATTAGCTATTAAACGTTCCAGATACTGTCCACTTTGAATTGGTTAACTGAGTAGAAGGAATAACAAGAAACAACGTGTGAAGAAAGACTACTGTTATTAGCATTCCATCCTTTCTCTTTATACATTTTGTAATTGGTGTTCCATAGTTAAGATTTTTGGATTTTTGGAATTTCTAATTTTTGATTTACTGAGAAGACTGGTTTGTTTTGCTTTGCAATTCCAAAAAGGTTTGCTGAAAGGACTGAAATCAAAAATAAAATGTAACTAAGAATTTACAAACCCAAAGTAATAAATAATTTTAAAGAAATAGCAACGCACAAGACTAACAAACATGGACCGATATAAGAGAAGCGTTAAGAATTAGATATGGTGATCAATATTCTAGGCAGAATTTGGTACAAGAGCTTATGTATACCACTAAAACTATTATTGAGTATTTGGATAAACTAAGAGGTTTAGTTTAACCCAAATTTAACGGTAGTTGCAAATGTCTTGATTGAACAAAACGAAATTAATGCTCTTCAAAATCTAGTCACTAATTCGCTAACCGAATTAAAAACAATTTTAATGGTACAAAATCCACAAACGTCAGATGCAGCTAACAAATTTATGAAAATTATCAACTAGCTGAAAACCACATGAAATTTAGTAGAGGAATTGATCATTCTACTAATCAAAATCAAAATCAAAATTTTTCAAATTACAAAAATAAAAATACGCAATTTCGTTCACAACAAACCAACCTCAATATACACAAAAAACATCCTATGTACCACAGAAGCCACAGTTTCCATCCCAACCTATTAATATAACACCTAAAAAGGACTATGTATCAACAAAATTTACTACTAGTTCAGGAACTTTTGGCAAAAATTATAATAATGCCTTTCGAAAAAACACGAATCAACAATTTTGGAAACCCACACCTATGTCCGGAGTTTCAGTGCAACCACGAGCACAAAATCAACATCAATACAGATCCAATAACTATTTCAAACCTGATCCGAATGCAGTACCATCAAGATATATAATCGAAGAGATCATAAATATCTTTGAAATAAAATTACCTGAATCTGACGAAAATTTCGAAACTGAAGAATGTTACGAAAATCAAAACTATTATGAAGAGACAAATTTTGAAGAAAATCAAGTCGAAACTGAAGACGAAAATTTTCAGTTACCAGCCTTGTATGCAATGAGTCAGCATTAACTTTAAATGCTTATCAGATC